CATTTTTCTGCTGCTAGTAAGTAGTGCATTTAATTGGGATGCATTAATAGCAGAATTTTGTGAACCGGATTATTATAATTGATTAGACATCATTCATTCTGCAGTTGATGATTATTCAATTTGGCTGATGAGATCAAATATTGTTAACTGAAGTTTGTATACAACAGTCCTAGCCAATGTGCTATATATAGTTTTACTTACTTTTAGACGATTTTATATCGCAAACATGTTACATGTCAAACATATACTACTTCCGTTTACTTTTATTTGTCCATTTTAAACTTTTTACGCCCCTTAAAAAATAATAAATATAGTGTGTATTTTACCTTACAACCCCTAATAATGATAGCCTTTCAAAAAATCTTGGGAAATAAGTTTGAAAATTAATAGATAATGATAAGGTTAAAGTTGGAAAAAAAGATTGTCTTTCTTTTGATTTAGTATAATAGACAAGTAAATGTGAACGGAGAGAGTATTTGTATATCTCGGAAATTTCAATCGTGAATACTGGAGTTTTTCCTTCATATCATGTAAATAATTACTAATATTGTTAGTATTTATAAATTTTTTGTAACGTTAAAATGAGTGCAATTCGTGGAATTTTCTTGAAAGACTATAGCTAAGAAAAAAGTGGCGAGTGAAATTAATTATTATGCGTGCACGCTCATCCTCCCTTAAAATGTGAAGTTTTAACGATTAAATGGGTTTCCCTAATATATTATTCATTTGCAGTAGATAAAATATTTATAGCCTAAAATAGTTTAGTGGGCGTACGAACATAACAATTATAAAATTCCAGAGGAAAGTGAATATTTTTTTTCCAAGTAAAAATGATATTTGAAAATTAGAATTGTGTTTGGACATGAATACAATTTTGAGTTGTTTTTGAATTTTGAGTGATCTGAAGTGCAAATTTTGAAAAATAACTTTTTGAAGTTTTTTCAAATTTTTTGAAAAATTCCAAAATTATCTTCAAGTGAAAATAAAAAATTTCATGAACAAACATTGATTTCGAAAAAAAAGTTAAAAATTTTCGGAAAAAAAGTGAATTTTTCTTTATGCCCAAATGGACCCTTAATACATGAAAAGCTCAACCACCACGTTGTGAATACCCTAAATTGCATTTTTGTTTGACGGTTAGTTGTGTTTACTAATTATTTTATATTCAAACAAGATACATTTTTTTTTCTAAGATGTGAAAACTCAGTCCATTAAGAAATTTAATTTCCTTCTTTTAGCACGATTTTCCTAGTTTCCAACAAGGGACAAAAGTTCATAAGGAATAAGCCCACACCAAGAATTAGTTGAATTTTTCCTTTTATTTCCAAAAAAAAAAAAAAAATCAACAGTAAATATCCAAGTTGGTATGACTTCTTGGTAAGACCATATGATACACAAAAATCCCATAAATTTGGCCTGCATTAACAAGAAATTAAACCAAACATAACAAGAAAGAAAGAAAGAAATCACCATGTTTTCCTCATCACATCACTTTGTTCTTTGCCTTTTCCTACTTAGTTTTTTAGCAATTTCATCAGTTAATTCTGAAAACTCCCCTATTAATTTTGTTGTTATTATTAAAAATGAAACTCCAAATACAGTGGAAGCAAGATGTTATATATATGGAAATGATAGTGGTGATTACTCAATGAAACCAGGTTGGACTGATCAATTCTACGTACCAATTATTCCAGGAGGAAATAACACTCTTTCTTGTGACATGAAATTAGGGGGAAAATATGGGTTTTTTGAGTTGTTTAACTTGAATCATACTCATATTTGTCATACTACTGAGGTTTGTTTTTGGAAAATACATGAAGATGGACCATGCATGTTGTTTGCAGGCAAATGTGTTCTCTTCAAATGGGGTGCTAACTCGACTAGGGATATTGCAAGTGAACCGGTAAGACATATTGCAAGTGAATCAGTAAAATATGTTGCAAAACCGGTGACACGTGTTGCAAGTCATGCATCAGCTAGATATGTTTCAAGTAAACCAATGAGATATGTTGCAAGTGAACCAATAAGATATGTTGCAAGTGAACCGGTGACACGCGTTGCAAGTGAACCGGTGACACGCGTTGCAAGTGAACCAATAAGATATGTTACAAGTGAACTAACAAAATATGTTGCAAGTGAACCGGTGACACGCGTTGCAAGTGAACCAATAAGATATGTTACAAGTGAACTAACAAAATATGTTGCAAGTGAACCCGTGACACATATTGCAAGTGAACCAGTGAGACATGTTGTAAGTGTAAGAACAAGACATGTTGCAAGCGAACCAATAAGACATGTTGCAAGCGAACCAACGAGATATATTACAAGTGAACCAATGACATATGTTGCAAGTGAACCAGTGAGATATATTGCAAATCCTTAGTAAATCCATAAAAATGTAGGATTTCTTTTCATGATATGAAGTTTTATGAAATTAATGAGAAAATTGATAGATTGAGTATAAAGATATGATACTTGTTATTTTGCTTGTTATTCCCAAGCTTCAAATCTCATTGGGGTTTATCTGAAAATGATTACATTCACATTAAATCTTTAGAACCTTGTATATCCTGATCATATAATAATTTCAGAACAAGGCCTCTCTTTTTTTAATTAGGAGAAGGCTTTTATTAACTAAGGGTTGTCTGGTTGGTTTACTCTGTCTTTATATTGACAAGAACAAAGTTACAAGAGAACAATTTTAAATTATAAAGGATCAAAACTGATTAAGAATATATTTAAAGGATCACATTATACCTGCCTTCAAACATAAGAAACATTTTAGTTATTTTCTCTTCTTTTTAATGTGAACCATTTTTGACAGGGAACCCATTTTTTACACGATTTCTTGGATGCTTCAAAAAACAAAAAAAAAAAAAAAAAAAAAAAAAAAAAAAAAAAAAAAAGGACAAAATTAGGCCTAACTTGGCAAGTACAGTATACCTTTTTTTGTTGACAATCAATTAAATCACTTCATAAAAATTATTTTGCATAATATATTTTCATTTCTTAAATGCTTGAAACAAAAAGTAAGGGAAATTTAGGCCTTACTTGGCATGTATCACTTTTTTGGCTTTCCTTCTTTCATTTGGTTACTCTGATTTCTCCTATAATTGTTTGATTTATTTTCCTTCACGTGGTTGTCCTTCTCAATGATGGACAAGCAAAAATAATTGTAAGATAAAATTTTAGTACCGCCTTATACTTTATTTAGTAATTAATTTTGGGTAAGCTATTTCAGGATTAAAATAGTATTGGGATAATTTATACGCCTACCAGATGGTGGAATACTAATCTCAAAATAAGTTATCACAAAATAAAGCAGTAAAATTAACAATACCAAGATTAATACAACATACCAAACAATCAATAAGAAATAATAGCAGGATATATAATTAATCTCAGCATAACTAATCCTAGCATAACTTGTCTTCAAACCAAACGAACCCCGAGGAAATTGGAGGCCTAGCTAGGTATTACCAAATTGAGCGAGAATATCACATCCCTCGCTCCTTGTAGTACGAGTGCTATCTGATTTCAATATCCGAACATATCTCTATTGAAGAGAGTCTTGGAGTAATGGTAAAGTTTTCTCTGTATAATTTATAGGTCACGGGTCCAAGTCGTGGAAAAGCCACTAATGTTTGCACTAAGGTAGGCAGTTTACATTACACCCCTTGGGAGGCAACCCTTCTCCCAACCTCCTGAACATGAAATGCTTTGTGCATCGAGTTATGTTAAAGAGATGATTATGAGATTAGTGCAAACAATATATTGAAATAGTAGATTTAGTAGTGTGCTTTCTAGAGCCAACGACCCACTAAGACTAACCTATCTACAAGGCGTGAATACGAGATGTCAGCGAAATGATTGGCGGGGCAGAGGCTAGGGTTTCTTCCTTCCCACCGTGTCCTTCCTTGTGTATCGGAGAAATAATGTCTTAAGTGCATCAATTTTTCGAGAATCATTTTATATGTTATATACAAAAAATATAATTTTATACACTTTTGTGTCTATAAAATATAAATAGTTTTAACTGTGGGCTAAAAGTGAACTTTGCCCAATTATCTTGGCCGTACTAGAGTCATGATCATGGCTCCAGCAATTGTGGCAATTGACCCAAATATTTTCGCATGGCTACGAGGGCTTGTAAGCTTCACCTTATAATCAAGCTTAGGATAAAAAAAAATGTGCAAATTAAAAAATATTAGTGTCTCATCATTTGGGAATTCTTAATGATATGGGAATATTTTGGCTTGAATCTTGGTCTAGCAGTGAAGGATATGGATTTGAAGCTAATTAAAAAGGGTTCAACATATAATTTTGACAAGTATTTGGGAATTTCTTCTAGTGGCATTGATCTACGAGATCAATTTTTGCCAATATAATCGAATGATTCTATTCGGGGATCCCAAAATATGAAAATATGGTGCTTGTAATTTTGCTTTTTTCTTCCTTGTTGAATATGCCTTAAGCTTTATGCTCAATGAGTAATGATCAGTTTCAAATATCATTCTTTTTGTGTGAATTAGTCAAGATCGATGTCTAGATTTAAATTAGAAATTATGCGTAATTTGTCTCTAACTCAAGTATAATGAGCAAATTTATAAATATGGAGAGAAAGTCTTAACCTTTAAAATGCATCGCAAAGAGATACTTCCTATAGACGTGAGTAACATTTATGTTATATGGAGATAAACGAGCAAACGATTTTGTGACATGAGATTGGAAGCTCATTACACATTGAACATACAGCTTGGCATATCCATTCACATAATACCTGAATTTTCTTAATCAATTTCATAGAACATTAGTAAAAATTTCATGGATTTACTTAGGACTTCTCTTCAAAATGAAGGGTCCAGTTGTAGCATATCTCAGTTTTTCAGTTGCAATATGTCTAGTTGAAGGGAGTTTTTCTTTGACTTGGTGACTCAAACTGGGAAGAACTGTAGAGTTAGCATCCCATTTGAAGAGCACACATTTACCTGCAACAAACATGCATAATCCATCTTCATGTACATTCCAATAACAAAATACATCAAGAGTGACAAATGTTAGTATTATTCAAGTTAAACAACTGGAAAACCCATGTTTCTCCCCTAATTTCACGTCACAAGAAAGGGTGTAATCCCCTCCAGGAATAATGCTCCAAATGAATTCAGCATAATGATCTGGTGTCATTATGATTTCGTCGCGAGTCTCAATTCCATGTATATAACATCTTGCCGATGCTGTACTTGGAGTTTCATTTGTCGCAATAACCTCGAACGGGTAATCAACAGGGATCTGTGAATTAACTGATGAAAATGCTAAGAAACTAAGAAGAAGTAAAGTACTAAGTAGTGTGATGAGGAAGGCATGCTGATTTTGTTTCTTGTTATACTTGGTTTTCTTGTTATTGTTGGTCCAAATTATAGTGATTATTGTGTGTTCATATGGTTTTGGACAAAACTTCTTCATTAATGATTACAGAGATAAACAACTTCTTATTGAAACTGTTTAACCAGTCCTACCAAGAAGTCTTACCAACTTGGAGATTTTCTGTTGACTAGTTTCAATTTAAATTTACTTTTAGTATGAGCTTAGTAACTTTTGCCCCTTGTTGGAAAGTAGGAAAATTATGCTAAAAGAAGGGAAAACTGGTAGAAATTTGCATATCTTGTTCAGTTTAACAAAGCATAAAAGGAAGGTAATTAGTGTTCCTAATTGACAAAGTTCCATATTTTAGTGACACAAATGCATATTGTTGGAACACAAAGTTAATACCTGTAAGTTTTCAACTAACAGTCAAACAACAAAGCACTACATAATACATATGAACACATAGGCTGAAAAGAACTTATATTAATTGTTTACAAATGAAGTTGCATCACCTTTGTGGAGTTCATTTCTCATTACTGAGTAGTCGAAATGTTCATATATTATACTCTTTAGGCTAAAAACATTTAATCTACTGTAAATGAGACACAACTATATCAGGCAAGCCCATTTAATCTGGCATTTGGGCTAAAAATTTACCTCTTCTTAGTTTTCTTGAAGAGGAAAACCAAAATACCTCTTTGAACCTGCTAAAGTACCTATGCACTAACATAGTTTTTAAATAAATTAGATTCACTTTTGTCTCTTTTGATAAGGTTAAATTAGATTCCCAGAAATATGTTTGGGAAGAATAGTAGAGGTAGAACTATGACAGAAACGTAGATTCCGAGCTATATACCTTGATATGAATTAAAATCCTGTTATACATCCATAATGATACTAAGCTCACACAAATAATAATTTGCACTCGAGTTAAGGTTTACATCCAAGTGATACTTTAACACATTTATGAGAAACCTACATCAGCATTATACTAACTCCCCACTTCTGTTCAAATGTCTGAAAAATTCAGTGAGATAAATTAGGACATACTAATTCAAATGTTTTTTATAGAAACCATCTCCATAGCTGGAAAATTTACAGAGTGATTCCGAGAACTAGCAGCTGGCGTACTATTGAATGTAAACAGTATTATGACATTGATAAATCTTACCAAAATGAGTACAGACTACAGACACAAAGCAGGGAAGAAGTCATCTTCTGGAATATTTTCAGTTTGAAGTTACTGCACTCATTTGCTGCATAAGTATCTCTTCAACTCTATCCGCGAAGACTGAGATAGTCTGTCGTGAATTTGTATCCAACGAGTTTGCCACTTCCTAAAAACGTTAAATGAAGCAAAGGTCAGAAGGTCAAAAAACTTGAATCGTACCAAATCTGTCAAATAGTTTTCTAACTTTATGGTTGTACTAGACTCGTAACATCATAGAGACAATAGGCCAGCCTTCCCTTTCTTTCCACAAGAAAAACCACATTAGCATGAAATTTTGCATTCATATAAACCAATTCTAACCTTTTTCCTATCAATTGGAAAATGCTATGCGGACCATTTGAATACTTTAACCTATTATGCAGGAAATACCTAATATCAGAAAATTTGGACTTTAGTGAGCTAGCTAGGTCCCAACCAGCAGCACTATGTACTATCAGCACTGCACAATTATGTTTAACTAAAATGACCTTACATGTGAACAATCTGAATTAAATTCCCTTTTTTTATGGCGTGCTAGGTCCCAATCAGAATTGCATAGCATCACTACTGCACAATCATTCAACTGAAATGACCTTTCATGTGAAAACTCAGAATTTAAATTTTTTTTGTTTGATTGCATGCTTAACAAGCTTACTGGAAATCGGTATTGTTAGAGGCACGTGATACGGAAAGAAAGACTTCTCATTCTTTCAAACTAAAAGTTGATAAACTAGCTCAACACAGATGTTGGAGTCAAGCATGACAAGAGCTACATGTCCATATACATCAAATGTCAAGTGTGAAATCGATCTTCCCTTCAAGGCTGTCGCTTCATGGTGCACATTACCTCATTGTTTCCTTCTTTTTTAATTCTTAGAGAGCACTGAGAATTTGTAGTCATATTTTTCATTTCCCTTTAACCCTTACAGACCTTACAAATTCAGGTTAAATTACCATTCACGATGTAAATGTTACATCTATTATTGGTTAACAGTCCAAACCCAATTGAACTTTCAACAGTCAACACAAAACTTTCCAGCACTGATTTGAAACAGCTATAGTCTACCACAGCCCTACCAATGAACAACTTACCGCAACCTTGCAAAGGACGGTCAAAGGTATTTCTTTTGAGGAGTGACTTGAGCTCTTCAGAGACATCAGCGTTAAACCAGAGCTGGTTAGTGGCCAACCTTGAAGTGGCTTTATGAAAGCATCGATTCCACCAATCATATGAGCTACTATCATCTCCTCTCTATCCACGTATTCAAATGAATGCCTGTTTGATTTGAGTAGATATAAGTACATAATCTAAAAGAGATCAAATAAATGCGACATCAGACAACAAGAGAAAAAACACTCAACGCCACTATAAGATATATTTGTGGGGGGTTAATGAACGGCTTTTGTTAACTAGACAATATACGAACATCCAACATTTTAAATCTATTACCGGTGGCGTATCTACACTCCACATAGTGAACTTGGGTTCACGTGAACCCATGCTTACACCCCCAACTTCTATATAGTAGTGTATATAATTTCTGGGAACAAACACAATTGGGAACCATTGTCAAGAATGTGGTGCAATGATTATGAATTGGCAACTTCAGTGGAGCACTGGTTATGTTGGAAGTATGTTTAATTTGCTTTCAGGAGTAGGATCGATCTACCATACAGAACTTGTTCATTTTTAGTTTTATTTTCGTTTCTTTCAGTTCTTTCAAGTAATTTTTTTTCTAATCACTATTTCTTCCCAACCCCTGTCCCAGGAACTATATGTTTGGTAGTGGTGCACTGATCCTTTAGAAATCCCAGATCCACCACTGTCTATTACCTGCCATCAAACATAATCTGTCTTAGAAAGATCTCTAACACATGGGAAAACAACTCAAGATGTCATGTTAAGTGGTATGACCAATTCTTCTGACCAAACATCTCCGCACAGAGTAAATTCTCCATTTAATAGACCATTTATCAACTGGAAAACAACTCAAGATGTCATGTTAAGTGGTATGACCAATTCTTCTGACCAAACATCTCTGCACAGAGTAAATTCTCCATTTAATAGACCATTTATCAACTGGAATTTTGTTCCCCTTATCCCCTGTGTTCTGTGATGGTTCTCTGTGGGCCACTCCTTCATGGCAGCAACCCGGATATAATTCTGCTTCCTTGTTGATTTTGTATTGATCTGTTCCTTTCCACACGAACTTCGAAATTTATTGGCAATGTTCTCCATCCCCCATCTTGAAATACTTCTGAGTAATGATCGCTAATTTTCTGCTCTCTTGTGTCAGCTTGACGTGTGCATACCCATTGTATCTGTTAAAGTTATTGAAATTTTCGTATGTATAAATTTTATAGCTTTTCGCCACCTTCTGAAAAATTCTCTGGTCCCTTCTAAAGTCAGGACTAGGATTTTACATGTTCACCCTTATTCAATTTATGAAGCTTCTCCTCCTTTCATCACATTCATACAATTTAGCACATCTTCTTCTACTCCATTAATTTCAAAGCATTCCGCAGCGATAGGAAGAATGACTTCCTTAACATGATATCAATGTAAATATAGACTTTGATCACCTTTCCATAGCTGCAGAGTAGGCTTATGTTACTCATTGATCTAATCTATTACTCACATTAAGATTCTGATCAATGATTTCTGGGAGAATATCGTGTATAAACTGAATCTCACTCTCTCTCTCCCTCTCAACACGAATAGAGGAAGACAAGAATATTTAACAGCCAAAGATATAAGAAAATAATTAAGAAATAAAACAGTTGCATTCCATCTACCACTTCAGATTCCATTACATAGTTAAGTCACAGTTATGAACTCCACTTTGAACTCTTAAACAGTTTCATATTTATCCCAATAGCCCACTTACTAAACCACCCATTCAACACAATATTGCAGCGCTGCTCCTAAGCCATAAACCCCTCAACGAGATGCACATGATAAAAATCCATCCCTTGCTTCTTCTCAGATATCTCACATACCAGCATAACTCACACCTTTTTCAGTAGAGCAGAATTTTCCAACTACTCTTGAGATTTAATTCTGTGACTTACTTGAATTGAGCTGTTTTAGTGTGTTATTAACAAGTTGCATCTTGTGCTGCTCATCTTAAGACTTGTAATTCCTAAGATAGGCCCCATGCCACACTCCTTAATTTTGTCCTTCGGAAGCAACGAAAACCCGTTTGATATGTAATAAAAGCACGGAAAACAAGACGTAGCTCTCCCTCTGTAGCATACAAGCAGTGCATCCGAAGGTACAAATAAATCATCTGTTGGAGGGCGTCTTTTTATTTAGGTGTAACAAACATGATCAATGCACCAGAAACTGATGAATTAAGTGCTAAAATCATGATTAACACAATTGGGGGGGAAGCTCAACAACAACTCTGCAGAAAGATCTAACTCAAATTGCATGCATAAAGAATAAAATAAGGACTAACCTTGCATTATTTGCGCTCTTCACCAAAAATTGCCTTAATGTGCAAAGAACAATTCGATCTTGCACCCTTCTAACCAACCACTCCAAAAAACATCTATTTTCAAGAACTGCCACAGAATAGGCCTGTCTGGAAGCAGTGGCACTGTGTGAGTTTTCATAGTAGCAAGATTAATATCGAATAAACCACAGATAGATCAGGCTCTAACTTAAAAGAGTTTTTGGTCCATCTATCTTTCAGGAATTGGAACTTCTCATTCAGTCTTTACTTAGGCCAAGATAAAACTCTTCATATCTAGAGAGCTTCATAACTTATACTTCTAAAATACTTTTTGCAACAGAGGACATTTAACCCAAGGATTTATTGTTAAACATGAGTGCAAATTAACCAAAACTTGGACAATGATGTCAGATTAGTCTAATCCATTGAAAGAAAGAGCTCGCCACTAGCCAAAACAATGTCAATGAGCATCTTGCCCTAAACATATATCACGTAAAAAATTTATTGTATGAAACTCATTGAGCATGCACACTTTAACATAGTGAAACTTGCAAAATCTATCTGTACTCATGCTGAGCTGCTGAGTTCATAGTTGCATCGAACAGGAAATAACCCTGAAAAGTTACATGGGGCCTCACGTACATATTCCAAGATCATGTTACAAATTACTTCCAAAATAAAAAGAGAATATGAATTACTCTGCAAAAATCAACTAAAACTTCGCATCAAATTTTACTTTAAATACTAAAGGATAAATTTTTATGCTCAGGCATCAAACAAATGAATATTTCAGTGCTTTTATATAAATTTACACATGCCAAAAAAGACCACTACAGTGTAAGAGAAATATGAAAAGGAAACACACCTGAAAGATTTTGCAGCATCAGTTATTTCACTTATATATACATCATTTGGGAAAATCTGAAGAGCATCACCAAGAAGTAGATTAAGGTTACAATAGATCAGAAATGGCAGCTTTATATCTTAATGACCAGTAAAAACTACATAAACGGTCAGTTCAACAAAGAAAGAAAATCAAAGCAGCTTGCAGGTAAAGCAATGAGACAGTCGGTTGAGCACTCAAATATACTGGATAACACGAAATGATAGATTTTTCAACTTCTGCACATGGCTTGTTGTATCTCATCTAACATACTCTTCATAAGCACAAAAACGAATTGTCTTAGCCTAATTTGTTTCAATACTTCAACACCAGCCATATTTAGTCTTTGACTGTTTGCTACAGAATATCCGTTGCCAATGTATCAAAAAGCGGCCACGTATTTTAATTTGTGGCAGATATGGAGAAGGCTAATAAATCTACTTTGAGCTAATGTCCTGTCATGAGAGGTTAAGTGTAGCTTAGATTTTTTTTCTGTGACATGCTAGCATTCCATGCTTATAAAGTTATGCCACTATATACTCTTTTGAAATATCATCTCGTCAGTAGAAAGAAAATTGAGTTATTCATAATTTTTATGTCACAAACTGCTGATAAACTATACCTCGGCATGTTTTAGCTCCTTGGTTCCGTCCATCAGTTCAATTAACAACTCATGATTCTTCTCTGGTGTTTCAACAACATCAACTATATTTTGGTTATGCAACAAGCTTTCTAAGTTTGGGATAGAAGTTCTCAAAGATAATCTGATGCAGTTCCCCTCAAATTCAACTATCTTAAGACCAGAACATGCATCTTCAAACTCCTCCATAGCCTCAAGCCTGATTATATTGTAAAATTAAATGCACCAAAATTAGATAAGAGAGAGCACAGAGAACTATGCAAAGTTTATTTTGGAAAATACCTGTTGAAAGTATTCTCGAGATCTTGCAATGACTTCAAATTCATTTCGCTCTCCTCAAGCTGATTGCCTAATTCTAAGATCTACATATAAACGGAGTAAAACGATGAGCAAAAGGGGTATCCTTCAGTTTTCTTTTAAAGAAATAACGGAGCAACAACAAATATGCTTTGGCAGTTCGCCAGTAGAAAGGTTGTTATACAATGTGATAACTGAGACCACCAATAGATTAAAAAATTATTGATGCATCAGCAACTTCTTTTTTTATACAAGTAATATTAATGTATCAGCAACTGACAGCAAGATAACTGATTTTTCTCAATAAGAACGTGCTCAAATTGTAAGGCCGAAACTGCATTTAGATAATGATATCTAGCTAATCTAAGTTGTCTTGAAATACTGAAAAGCTGTAAGAACCTTAAAGTTATATTCCACAGATGTATTTGACAAGTTTCCATTATCTTCTCCAGTTGTCGAACAAGCAAAATTTGCCAGTACTCTTCCTTGTTCAAGTCCCTAATATATAAAACATAAAATACAATAAGTCTAACAATAACGAGCATTTGAGCAAAGTTAGGAGAACTAAGAAAGAGAGGAAGCATGATAAAATTGACACATTAGACTTGACAAGTAAAAGAGAAGAAGATAGAAAAAGGGCAAGAAATTGTTCACCAAGCAAGAAAAACTCAACTTCTGATAAAAGTGAAACTTTCTCTAAGGCAGTTTGATCAAAATTAACTGCTTCAGCAGTATAGCAAAAGTATCCATGCTAATCTTCCACTTAAAAGATTCCATAATTGACAACTTACCATTATTTTTCAAATGGAAAGAGCACACAGTAGAATTATGTAATGATTGCAACTGGAAATAAGTGAGACACATAAAGCTAATGAATTGTCCCTTCCAGACCCCATAAAGAATATGCAAGTTCCAATTATGCAATTCATTAGCTGTTGGTCAAATTTTAAGTTTCTTGCCACAATATTCTTCACATAGAACTTGAAACTGCAGAGGCGACTCACTACCAAATAGAAGGCAAACACAAACTTTCTTTTTCACTCATTTTCTTAAGAACATAAACACAACTTTTGAACTTACTTCCAGCTAAATAAGAGATATTAAACAAAAATCAATGGGCAGGAAAAGCTAAAAATTTAGAAGTCCCTGCTTCTTAACGTTTGTTCCATTTCACATTCATCACTACTAATCATGCCGAGAAAATTGATCCCAAAGCATAAAACAGGCTATCTTCCACAACACCTCCATGTGTTTTCAGACTTCTCCCATTATTCATAGAATTTATAGGAAGCTAGTGAGGAAAATAATTTATTCATTTCTAAGTATCCCCAGACTCTTGCATTCTGTTGGTATTAGGTTTTTATGACTACTTGTTGTTTCTTTCATTTGGGCCATCTTACTATCTTGTTGTTATATATGTTGCTTTTACATAGCTTTTCGGTGTTGTCCCTTTTTGTTTTTCTTTTCATTAATCCGGTGCTTATGCGTTCTTGAGCTAAGGGTCTATTGGAAAGAGTCTCTCTATCTCCATCTCTACAAGGCAGGGGGTAATGTCTGCATATACGCTATACACTACTCTTCCCAGACCCCACCTATGTTGCTCAGACTCTCCAAAAGTGTTGTCGTACCCATGTCGGATCCTCCAAAAATGCACTAAATTTGGAGGATCCGACACGCACCCACCAATATTTTTGAAGAGTCCAAGTAACATAGGACCCCACTATGGGATTATACTGGGCATGTTGTTGTTGTAAGTATCACCAAACTTCTACATGTGTTTTCTTATCAATGAAACAACCAAATTTATCCACCATGTCACCAAATAAGAATGATGATCCCACTTTGTATCTTCATGGAAGCATTATCATGAAAACTCTGCGCTTATGTGCTCCCTATAAATGGAAGATATGGTAAACATGCAACAGAAATGAAGTCCATTACCGCCAAACAAGCTTGAAAAGTTATCAAAAACTTATGCACTACCATAAATAATTGCCAACTTCAATATAGAATAAGATCACACGGAAGAGATAGAAATTATCATAGTTTACATTCTTCCACCCACCTGCGGTTTATTTGGTATTTCACCTTTAACATTTTAGTTCAGTAGCTACACGAACAAGACAGCCAAATACCATAAAACTATAGCATGTCCAGTTTCCTAAGGAACCAACAAGTAGACGTGTCTACTAAACCTGCAAGCAATCCCCCTCAAACCCTCCCTAATCAACACTCAGTTTATATATAAGTAGAATCAGGGGATAATAGTAACACACCTGTGATTCAATGAGCTCCAAAGAACAACTTAGGCCTTCAATCCCGTCCACCAATTTGCTATAACCTACAGACAGAGTAAACATATCAAAATCAGAGCTCAAGCAATGTCTTATTAGCCCCACATAAATCTGAATTTTCCAAAACCACCATGAATTCTCAGCACCTTCAACATATTCCCTTGAAAGCCCCTCAATTTCATCTGCTATTTTTGCATTTTTAGCCTCCTCTGTGCTTAGCTCATTCTTCAAATATTCCCAAAATTCATCTGAAGTTGCAAAAACGAGGTTTAAATGGAAGATAAAGGTCCCTCCAAAGATATATGTGTGTGCGTGTGTGTTATAGTAAGCTCCTTCCAAACATATATGTGTATGTGTGTGTAAGTGTCTGTAATACATCGATACACACACACATGGAGCAAAAAAAAAAAGATATGAACAGCTCTTCTTCTACCTATATCCTGATCAGACGAGAAGTTGATCTCTGAGGCATCATACAATAATTGTTCCACTTTGCTCTGCAAAATCATACACAGTGAACAAACACGGCATTGACAGAAAAATATAGTGAACTTTTCAAGCCGTCAAAGAAAACAAATCAAATTAAAAAAGAAGAACCTCTCTTGGTCCCAATTTATTCATTCATTGTCTCTTATAGAGAGTCAACTTGATCATTTTCGGAGCTAACATGTTTGGTATGGTTAGAAATGTCTTGTTTGATGAAATCATTTTTCATTGTTTGGTTATCTTAAATAGTGAACAATGTTTTCTTCAATGAATTGGTATTTTCAGAATATACCAATTCAGAATGATTTTCAGTTATTATTACAAATACAAGGCCTGACAACTTATTGTGTGAATTGGTATTTTCAGAATATACCGTGCATATGATCTGCTGATATTCATTGCTACTTGGTTGCTTTATCTTCATTGTTCCTTGAGCCGAGGGTCTATCGGAATCAGCCTCTCTATCTCTATGAGGTAGGGGTAAGGTATGCGTATACACTATCCTTCCCAGACCCCATTTATGAGATCAAACTGGGTTTTTTGTTGTTGTTGTTTTCTTCAATGAAAATGATTTCCACATAAAAGTGGAAAATGGCTTCTTTAGCTTATGACAAAAGTCATTTTTCTTTCCAAATATCCCAACTCTTACTCCATGTTACTTGTTTCAATAACTCTAGACATTGTTTTCAAACCTTTAATATTCAAAAATATATCCAACTAACACTAGAAAATAATCCAGAACATTTTCCTCAACCAAATGCACAACTGAAAACAGTTAACTTATTTTCCTTCAAGCTATATACACTGACAGTGTAAAGAAATTTTTAAACCACCAGTATAATTTAACCTATAGGTTAATCACCTTTTATGCTAGTTAACAATCAATATTGTTAATAGAATTACCTCCAATGTTCTTTTAAGTGAGTTGTATGAATTTTTTTTACAGTGTCAGAACTTAAACTCTTAAGATATTTAGTGTGTGCTTGGTATGGAGGAAAATATTTTCAAATTTTCTCATGTTTGATTGGTCAAAATATATTTTATAGGAAAACAACTTCCTGAAATATCAGGAAAATAACTTCCCTAGTGAGAGGAGGGAAAACAAGTTATATAAGTGGCATTCCACATTCATTGTNCGAACCCATGACCCCCCACCCTCGACCACACCCTAGACCCCATAGTATTTGCCTAAACTCTATATAAATGCTCTTGGCACAATATTTTCTTCTCACTTACCAAACAACAGAAAATAAGTAAGAAACCACTTTACACATTTTCTTCATACTAAACAAACCCTTAGAAACTACAATAACTGCAAATTCTAATATCAAAATGATAAACGAGTATGCTCAATTAGTCAATTTAACCTGACCAACTTCTGGAGCTAAATCACACAAATGTTAACACAATACACTCATTTTTAACTAAATTTTGAATTTCTACAAACTATCCATAAAGCAGTAAAAAAAAAGTGCTACAAAGCTCGAGAATCTTCCAAAATTCTCTTATTTTCTTTTATATTTACCTTAAATTGAAGTGTAGAATCTTCCAGTAATTTCTTCAATTCTAAATCGCAGGACTCTGGATCTTCAATACAACTTCTTTGAATATCTCTAAGCTCTTGAATATTTCTATTATAACCATAATATTCAAAAAAAAAATATCAGAAATACGCATAAATAAATTACTGTATCTTGAAATTGAGAAAATAAAAAATAAGAAACCTGCGAAGAGAATCAACATCATTGTGACTTGCATTTTCCATTTTTTGTCTCGAATTTGTAGCTGTCACTGATTTTTTCCTTCCATTTTTTTTTTTTTTTTTTTTTTTGGCTGTAATTCAAACTCCCGCCATTGTTATACGGGTTTTGTCATTTGTGGTTGTGTTGAAAATAGAAATATGGATCAGTAAGTTAGGCCCATTTATAAGCCCACGACATTTGGGCCCAACATGCTCTCTATTCAAAGAAGAAAAAGGCAAGTTACACATTTAGCCGGTCGGTCAAAACTAATTACATTAGCTAGCCAAATATTCAAAAAAATGTGTATATTATATGTTAATATACAAAAAATATATAATTCATAGGATTTTATTTTTTGGAGCAATAATGTGTAGTTTTCCCACGAACAAGTGACATCAAGTAGCTTTGAGCACTCCTATAGTAGTAATGTACTCCCTACGATCCACAGTAAGTGATTTTTTTAATGTTTTCACACAAATTAAGAAATCTCCTTTAACATTAATTAATAGTAAAATTAACCATATTAACTTTTACTATCTCTTCACATAAATACTCCTAAGTCCTAATACATATTCCAACACTATTTACTCCAAGGGCAATGTTGGGAAAAAAATTAATTCATTCTTAAAATTTTAATAAGTCAGAAATTTTGGATCACAAAATATTACTTATTGTGGACGGAAGAGTATTTTTTAAAAATTATTTAAGTTTAGTCAGTTTTTGACAAACTTTATATCTGAGTTCTAAAGGTAGAGCCTCCTTCATTTTAAAGTTTGAACATAATTGAAAAGGCCAAATTAAGAGGACATGTGGGACTAATTTTAAGGCATTGTGTCTTTGGTTGAGTAAAGAGTCACTAATAAACTTCTGGTTCAAACCAATAAAACTAATAAAACAAGTGTTTATAGCTCGTATTTGCCTTAATTATGTAAGAAATTGTAGTTTTTTTACCTTGTTTTATTAGTGAAATAATTATTCGCGGTATTTTATAGCAGCACTTTTCTTTTAGTTATCTCTTATTCATTATTTATTGTACAAATGGATCATATATTCAAGGAGGTTGACTTTAATACCTTTAGCAACTTTCCAAGGTTGGAAAGCAATATGTGTACTACAAATTTATCGTACCTAGGGGTGGGCGTTCGGGCAGTTCGGATTGAATATGAAAATTTCGGTTTGGATTTTCGATTTTCGGATTGAAGAAATGACAATCCAAATTCAATCCAAATATGCTCGGATTGAATCGGATTTTTAAGTTCGGTTTCGGATTAATGGGTTTGGATATTTTGAATTTTCGGTTTTGAGCTTATAAGTGGAGATGTTTCTTCTTTTACATAAATGAATATCCAAACGAAGTACGTTAAATTGCATGAAAAGTTCATCATTCTCAGCGCAATCATCCAATTAAAGTATTCAAGTAATAAAATTATTATTAAAGAAATACAATAGAGACATTAACACGGTTAATAAGAAGTAACAATAGTAAAATCATGTCCAAATAGAAAGTCTTCTAACAGTAACTTAGTAATTAATATTAAATATACGAGATATTATCTAATGGTAGGATATTGAACATATTACTATTTGCGTATGGATAATGGACTAAATATAAAGTATAAAAAAATTGGATTTTTGGATATCCAAAAATTTGAAGTACCAAATCCAATATCCAATCCGAAATCCAAAAATTTTAAAAACTAAATCAAAAATCCAATCCGTAATCTAAAAATCCAAAGCAAAAATCCCAAAAAGTCAAATTTTAGTTCGGATTTCGGGTTTTCCCAAATTATGCCCATCCCTAATCGTACCTAAGATAATTAAAATAAGAAATAGTGACAAATTGTATTACAAATATAATAGTTGGAATTAGAGATAAGTTAAATTCTAGCTTTGGAAATTCAATATTTTCATGGTCTCCATAAGCATATTTTGCAGCTGATATTGGGAAATATAATTGTGGACATGTTTTTAATATTTCAATAATTACGCCTCAATTCTAACTTAGTTATATTAACAATCCTAGAAAGAAGAAAAAAAACCAGTTGGGTTCTTTACCGATTACACTAAATTAATCTCATGCCTTTAAATTAATGTCACACTATTGCAAGAATTTTGATCACTTTGGTAACATATACCTATTTTATCTATGTTTTATAGTTTTTAATAGTACTTAGGTTTTTCTTACAAATTATATACATTGCTCCTTAGAAGGTTCTCATTTCATTATTAGTACATTCAAATAAGGAATTCAATTACATCATTTCCTTTTTTTTCCCTCTCTTCTTCTTTCTCCTTTTTTTTTTTACATCAAGGTCCCTAAATCTACGTGCAGAATCTCCATTTTCTCTCTTTTCACTATTGCCGAGAACTTTATATTACTAAACAAATATTAATTGCATCGTTCATTTACTGGGAGACTGGATAAAACTGAAAATGAAGAAACATTCAGATAGTTGCCAGAATTATTCGCAATGCCATTCAATTAAAAAGTTTGAAGCTTTGAATTTGATATTCATAGTTTCAGATTTTGTGATTTATTTGGATTGGATATTTGTGATGACCCGATAGGTCCTCTAGAGTTTTAAACCCTGATTCCGTATTTTGAGACCTCAAATACCTTATTTTAGCTTTCATCGATTTGCGTGTGCAGTCCGGGTATTTTTTTCGAAAAGCATTTAGGTTAAAAATTGATAAAATATGAAATATAGGCTTAAAAATCTATTTGAGTTGACTTCGCTCAATGTTTTGAGCAAACGGATCTGAATCCATGTCTTAACAGTCTTGGTGAGTCCGTATCGTGATTTGAGACTTGGGCGTATGCTTGAAATCGAATTTAGAGGTCCCTAGCTAGAGTTATCTTATTTTGTTGAAAATTGAAGTTTGAAGGCTTAATAAATCTAAACGTTTAACCGATGTTTGACTTTGTTGATACCGGGTCCGTATTTTAGTTTCGAAACTCGGTATAGGTTTGATACTATATTTATGACTTGTCTGTCAAATTTGATGAGAAATGGAGTTAGTTTGACGTGACTCGGACGTCTGGTTGTTAAAATAGCAATTTTAAAGTTTTCTTGAAAATTTTATTTGATTTGGTGTTCGATTCAGAGCTCTAAGTGTTATTTTGGAGATTTGATCATGAGCAAGTTTATATGATGTTTCTGGACTTGTGCGCATGTTTGGTTTGGAGACCCAGGGGCTCGAGTAAGTTTCGGATAGGCTACGGAGTGGTTTGGATTTAGAAAACAATGTTTGTGTGCTTCAGTTCTGGTGCATGTCTCTGACCACGCAATTGCGAGGTTAGTGTTCGCAATTACGAAGAATTCAATTCTTGCTTGGGTCGCAATTGCGAAGAAAATCTTCGCAATTATAAGAGGGTGGGTCAGCCTGAGTTCGCACTTGCGATGAATTGGTCGCATTTGCGAGATAGCCATTGTTCGCAATTACGAACAAATCATCGCAATTGCAATGATAGTAGAAATGCTAGGACTTCGCATTTGCGAAGAAAACCTCGCATTTGCGGATTCGCAATTGCAAACCCCTGGTCTGTAACTGGTCAAAAGATGAGTTAGACGGGAATTATCTCATTCTTTCAAATTTTCAAACCTTGAGAACCCTAGAGGCGATTTTTCCAAGAGCCCTTCTTCTCCAAATCATTGGTAAGTGATTCTAACCTATTTTCTTTCAATCTTCCATTACATTTCATAAGATTTCAACCTAAAATCTAGTATTTTCATGGTGGAAATTGGAGGTTTGGGTAGAATTAGGAATTTTTGTAAAACTGGAATTTAGACCTCAAAATTGTTGGATTTCGAAATAAATTACATAATCGGACTCGGGAGTGAATGGGTAATCGAATTTGGTCGGAATTTCGGGTTTGGACCAAGCGAGTCCGGGAGTTAACTTTTGTTGACTTTTTCAATAATAACGTAAATTGAATCTTTTGCAATTGTGGGTAGTTGCTAAGGCTTATTTTGAATCGTTTGGTTGATAATTTACTAGATTTTGTTGGCTCAGATGCTTATTTGAAAGGCAAAGATGTGGTTGAGCTTTGAGTTGATCTTTGAAGCGAGGTAAGTGTCGTGGTTAACCTTGACTTGAGGGATTAGGACTTGTTTGCCTATTTGCTACTTGTTTAAATGTTGGGTACAACGTATATGTGAGGTGACGAGTACTTATGCATTGTTATTGGGATAAAGCATGCGAGTGGGACTTGTTTCTTGTAATTTAGTGTTTTCTTTAATCGTGATAACCACAGTGTATGCAAATTTTATTCTCAGGAAGTATGAGGTACTTGCTTTTGGGATCCCATTTAGGTGCAGGGGTCCCATAGCCAAGTCCTCTCTTGTTGCTACTAGCGTGTTCGTGTAGCAATGAAAGTGCATCGGAGGACCTGTTCCATTTACAGGTTCTGTCTAGCTCATGCTTGACCTTCCTCAGATCCTCCTATAGGACTCTTATCTGCTCATCTCTTTTGTACAACTCATTTTTCATTTTTTCTACATTTTCTTCTAAAGTGAGTTGTGTGTGATCAGCTTTCTTTTTACCTGTTCTTAATTTCAATTTTAAATTTTCAGATCTTAGCTCTAGGACAGTGGTGTCAAGTTCATGAACCTAGTTCTTTAACTCAGCATTTTTATTATTACTTTCACTAGCCCTAAGTTCTAAATTTTTGCACTTAGTTTTCAAAATCACACACTCCTTAGACAGATGTTTCTTTTCATTGCTTAGATCCTCATATTCATCAATGAAATCTAAGAGTAACTCAGATAGCCTTTCTTTAGACAAAAATTTAATTTTGTCTTTGAGATGAATTATACTTACCTCAGATTCCTCATCGGATTCTCCAATTGTCATAAGTGCTTGTTCATCTCCATCTTCATCATCTGAGTCCTCGTCTGAGCTTTCTCCCCAGGTAGCAACCATAGGCTTTTTTGATCTTTTGTTCTTTTTGGGTTGAACATGTTCCTTCTTCCTGTTCCTTCGTTCAGTTCTTTCCTTCTTCCATTTAATTTCCCATTGAGGACAGTTTTTGATGTGGTGATCCGTCTTCCTACACCTGTAACACCCCTCGTTGG